AATCTATTTGATATTTAAGTACTTTTTATCACGTTTTTTCCTTTCAGAGTTTCTTACATAGGTATCCTGGACACAGGTTAAGCTTAATGTTCATCACAGTGAGGGAGAACACATACAATAGGGTCTTGGAGGTTGTTAGAAGGAACCTATTTATTTGGGTCATTTAAGCAAAGGTCTAAGGAAGTAGGGCTTTACTTTAAATTGATGTTTCTATGACCTGGCATCTTAAATTTTATAGGGATTTCTGGGCAGTGGTGCATACCTGTAATCCCAGCAACTAGGGAGGCTGAAGCAAGGAGTGTAATTGGTAAAGAAGTAGCACTCATTTAACTAGAGAAGGGAGACATTTTGGTATTTGTGGTGTTCAGTGACCTTGTCTGAAATGGATGTTCTATGAGATTGTTTTATGTCAAAGAAAAGTATGTGCTTTAGTTGTAAGCATTAAGTCAGTTTTAATAACATTTGGGTTTAGATATGAGATTCACATCAGTTTCTGGATGTCAAGAGCTGCATATTTTTGCTGGTGGTTGTTTTTTGTTTGTCAGTTTTTTCTTCCAGTTCCTATTTATGGCCAACTGCAGATGAAGTTGTGCTACAGGACTTTGATCCATGGTGTTTATATCTTCTTTGTGACTGAAGATTTTGTTGATTTAAGATTAGCAACATACCTATTCAGGGTCGTTGTACTTAAACCAGAGTTAATTCTTTCTCATTCTAGTGAAAGATGAATGATTGAACCATTTGATGTGACAGTGGCTGTATAGTTACATTAAGACTAGACAAAGATACATCAGTGGTGGTAATACCCAAAGTCTTTCTACTTCTTTCTTCCTCTTTATCCATTACTTTGCTTAAGTCTAATCCATTTTGAAGAACTATTTTACCTGATAATCTCAAATATAGTTAACCCTTATTCTTGTAGTAATTGCTTTCAGTGAAGTTGCCACAAACATCAAATTTTCATATATGGAACCTTGGCTTCTATGGAAATTAAAAGGTTAGATTATTCTGAGCCCCTAGTCAAAACATTTTTTTCTAGTTTTATATGTACTTCTGTTTAAAGACATCTTATTTAATATACTTGGCTCATTAACATTGAACTCTGAGTCAGTAGTACTGTAATTCATGCCTGAATGAAGCTTATCTATTTTTTTTTCCCTGAAGGCCCATCTCAGCCTTCTTGCACTGAGGGATCCTAGCTGGACAGCATTTTAGAACTGTGCATGGGGGCTGTATTAAATAGTAAAATCACTAATAAAGGTACCAATGTAGAAAACCTGGCACTAAATAAGCTAAGAAGATATTTGTTTATAATTATGAGAGTTGAAACATAGAGTTGAAAGTAGGAGGCCGCTGAGAATGTATGTGTTGAGTGATTCAAACTTTTTACCATTCTTTACTTGTTTGTAAATGATTATGAAATGAGGAGTATTAATTTTGGGCTTATGAATAAATTTAGCCAGTAGGCAAATTTGCAGATATGTATCTGCAAAAATTGAGGATCAGCTCTCCATTTTTCCCCATTTTTATTGATAACCATAATTCAGACTACCATAATTTCTTGGTTTAGACTGCTGTACTGATTCTCCAAACTGGTCTCCATTCAGTCAGGCTAAATGAAGATTGGTTCTCTCTAAAGTGTTGTCCATAGTAGTGGCTAGAATAGTATATTTGAAAGGCAGATCTGTTTATTGCATTTACTTCCCATCTTGATCCCATATGCCTTTCAGTAACTTTCCATTACTCTTAAAAACTAAAATCCTAATGTGATCTACAAATCACTTTAATTCCATCTCTTGTTTACCTGACATCAATTTTCTCCCTACTCCTGAATAATTCTGCCTGTTCTTCAGAATTTTTCTTCTCTGACTCCACAACCCCTAATTTAGTCTAGGTCAGGTTACTTTGTTATACCATTTTTTTTTCTTGTTGGCATGTTTCTTTATGCATTTATCTCACCTCATGACTCTATAGGTACTTATGTAATTTTAAAAATTAATATGCTTCTTACTAGACTGTAATGTAATCTTTACATTAGGAAATATGTCTTCTTTGGCTATTCCTTATATCCATAGCAGCTAGTATAGTGCTTGATACATAGTAGATTTTCATTACATAGTGAAAATATATATATATATATATATATATATATATATATATATATAT